GATTGGTGTCATGATCAACCCTCTAAGTTAACATGGGGAGCAACTATCTACAAAAACCCCTTTTCCTATGTTAATTCCCTATGTTCGTTTGGGAATATTCACCCGGTATAAATATTAAAGGTTCGGTAGTAAATTAGGTATATCCGAAGGTATACAATATTCTTACCCTTTGTTTGAGCAATCTCACATACCTTTTTGGCATGCAGGGGAACATGGCAATCCGTGTCGCCGGCAGTTGCACCGAAGGGTCTCGCAGCCACACCTGTCCAGAGCACGGGCTGCCTTCCATACTTGTGGCAGCTTGGACCACAGAACCTGCCAGCCTTTGGCTTCAAGATTCCATCCCCATCCTTCTGGACTTGTAGAGCTTCTCATCACTTGGTTTGCACATCCCCAGATATGGCCAGCGACATACGCCGCCCTCCTTATGTGCTCCTCCACCTCTTGCTGCGGCGACACGGATTACCATGTTCCCCGGCATGCCAAAAATGTATGGGAGATTGCTCAAACAAAGGGTAAGAATATTGTATAAGTACTTTCGATATAATTTACTACCGAACCTTTAATATTTATATGTAAAATTCCTTTTCAGTGCTGATAACGCAGTCTCAGAGGAGGTCAGCGATGTACTTGGTGATTCTTCAACGGCTTATACATTTTTTACCCCATGTTTTAATATATCTTATGTTTTGTTAATGTGTATTTTTATTAAATAAAATAATATAAGTTTATATATTAAAACTTTGGAATATCTTGAGTTTCACCGCGTGCGACGTCTTCAAAAAGTGCAGTAGGGATATTATTTCATTTCATACCTTATCGCTTACGGAATCATGTTTTGTTTATTAAGATGAGAAGGTATTCAATCGTTAAACATTTGTGTTGAAGGTGTAGGTGCTATGATTATGATGTCACTATCCATATTCGTTTACCTACGTCTATGAAAAGCGAAATAACCTTTGGTACTACAATCTCAAACGTCATTTTGACAACATATGACGCAAACGGGTTTCCCTTACCTCTTACGGATTTACGTTACCGCTTATTTCTTATTTCGTACCTCATACCGTTACGGAACTCTGAATCGGCCTTAAGGGTTATTTGTGTTTTACATACGGCGTTGTACGGTTATTATTTCCAATGCCTCCGATAGTTGCAAGGATTGTGAAATCTGTGAATTTTTTTATATAAATCCTTGAAAAAGACGAGTTTCTATAAAACTGGAGACGGGGAACGTAAAACAAAGCAAAAACAGGAACACAAGGAGCAAAGTGATTAACAAAAATGACGTGAAGCCCAAACTGTCAAAACAGTACCATTGGGTGCGTTCACCAGAACCAAACGTGTTTGCGCTTTGATTACGTTTGCAACCATAAACTGTTTAGGCGCACGTGAACGATAGGGTGCGTTTGCCAGAACCAACTGTTTGCAAACCGTTTGCGCTTTTTACATAAGTACGTTTACTGAACGCGTTGCTAGTTGTTAAACTGTTTGCAAGCGGACGCCATTTTTTGAATCGCAATTTAAACTCGCTGAAAATCACAAACATGTTTGTAAGGCAAGCATATTTATTGGTTGCGTTCACCAGAACCAACTGTTTGCAAACCGTTTGCGCTTATTACATAAGCATATTTACTGAACGCATTGCAAATTGTCAAACTGTTTGCAAGCGGTCGCCATTTTTTTAATCATAATTCAAACTCGCTGAAAATCACAAACATGTTGATCAGGCATGCGCATTTGTCCTAAGCGCACAATTTGCCTGGAAACCACACGTCAAATTTAATTTGAGTGAAATTTGAGAAAACCGTTTTGTATTCTTTTTGTAGATTTCAATAAAAATATGGCAACCTTTCTACAGTTTAAATACATCCTGCTATACGAGATGAATTGAATTGTCCTATAGAAAATCAAGATGGGAGTATTAAATGCGTATTCACTGGATCCTTGAGTAAATGGTTATAGTTGGTTATAGGTTATAGTGTTGCAAGGCAGAGTTTGATGGCCAGCAATCTACTAGAAGACGTTTTTTTTGGAGCCTTCATAAACCGCATATGAAGGGGTCAGTACAAGTCCAAATGAAATCGAAAGCACTCAGCCAGTATAGAGATACTTGTGTTAATCATTAGTATACGAATAATGTACCCTAATTAGATTCGAAGAGAAGTTTGGTGTGGAACGATTTCACTACAAAGTTATTAGGTACTCGCCGAGTATTTCAAATTTGACATTCGAGATCCAAAAAGGAAAAAAAATATTTGGTCAGAAATGTAAGACGTGTTTCAAGAAAAAGGGCATGATGTGTTACATGAAGACTTGAATCGGAAATTTCGGGATAATTATGAAACCACAATAAAAAGAAAACTGGTTGTGGTAGGCTGAAGTAATACTGTTAAAATATCTTCTTTTTTGTCTGGCAACTTTGTCGTGGGCAGTGTACGTTCGCAGTTTCTTGCGTTTTTACGGATTAACAGCACCATTTATTGATAGGAAAAAGCTCTAGGTATCAAATGACACAAAAAGTAAAAATGACTTCCATAAGAAAAAACAAAGCTGATGATGGTTAACCGGAGACGAAACGTCAGACTAAAAATTTAAAACTAGCATCTTGTATATGGAAAAAAGTGGTCACAATTATGTGCCGTTTATTATGAAATATCTTTTTAAATAACTTAGGTAACAAATAAAAACGATTTTGTAAAATGTCATTTTTTTTCTGGATATCTCCGAAAGTAGTCGGAATTTTTTCAGTTTCAAAACGACATTTTGTTAAGTATCAAACTACTCAACCTTGCCAACCTCTATTTCTTACAGTTCCCGAGATCCCCATGGTGGCCCTCGAATCTGAATCAGCCTGTATACATGGAATGCTCCCTTCTTCATTCATAATTAAATTATTCGATTTATCTCTTACAGCTTTAAAGCGCATTGTGCAATGTGCAATTATACAATTTTTGGTCGTGATGTATAGGTACTAGTAATTTAAGCTGAATTTATAGTTCCGTACCCGCAACGCCGTACCGTAACGTTTGGAATTAAACCCTACTTGTTGCGTGTGAACATTTATAGTTCGCGTTAACGTTGCGTTAGAACGGCTACGGTACGTAGGGAATGCCCAAATTTTATTTCTTACGGTAAATCGTGCTAACGCGCTTGTCTTCGGTAGTACTCGGATAATTCAAACAGTTGAGTTTATCCTGACGTTCGTTTCGTTTATTTACAATAATTATTGACACTTTGTTGGTTATTATTATTTTGAAATGCACGTTACTCTTACTGACAGATGACATAAGTTCGTGGCGCAAGCTCATCTCTTACCACTACGGTAACGTAAGATTTTACGGTTCCGTTTTTACGTTCTTACGGCTACGGAACTATAAATCCGGCTTTACTCCAATTTCACGCATAAACCTATATGCCGATGGTTTAAACAAATATGCGTGCCTTACAAACATGTTTGTGATTTTCAGCGAATTTAAATTGCGATTCAAAAAATGGCGTCCGCTTGCAAACAGTTTAACAACCATCGACGCGTTCAGTAAACGTACCTATGTAAAAAGCGCAAACGGTTTGCAAACAGTTGGTTCTGGCAAACGCACCCTATCGTTCACCTGCGCCTAAACAGTTTGTGTTTGCAAACGTAATCAAAGCGCAAACATGTTTGGTTATGGTGAACCCCCCGGGCCCAAACCCAAACCCCCATTGCATAAATGTATAAAGATGGCGTACTTTAAAGAAAAGCGGAAGTAGGTACCTATGTAAAGTTGTAAGGAGAGTATCAGAAAGACTCGAAGAGTAGTCGTAAAATCAGTTGAAGACAATAGCCCACAATCACCTCCCGAACGCAATGACTCAATGAGTCTCGCATAGATGGGGACCTCTCACAAATAGGAGAAACAAATAAAAAATCATTCCATAGAAACATTTGAGCACACAGCAAAATTATCAATTACACCGAGTAAAATTTCATATATACCGCTTCATGCGAATAGTAATCGCGAGTAAGTTTATCGGCGACAGCCAGGCGAGTTTAGGAAGCGTGGGTTGCGAAAAAGTAGACGCGAGTTGTCAAGTTTGCGTTGGTTCTGTTCCTGATATTCAATGCGGCAACGGATATAGTGTCCCAGATAGGACGCACCATAGGGTAACGGCAATGTATTCTTCGCGAAGGATCCATGATGCCTTTGAAATGAACGTTCAGCGTACTACTCCAATTTCTTTCTATCGGATCGTTGAATGCCAACTTCAAATACAAATCAAAGGCCTGCTGCAGTGCCTGATTTAGAGTACTTGCGGTTGCGGCCCTAGGACAAATTAACCCGAGCGGCCCCCGCCCCCTGGAACTTCCTAAAAGTGATCGTCAGAGCTGAGCATTGTGAGCAAGTCACCCGTTTTGATTGCATGTGGTTAACCGCTCACTGAGCGGATGGTGACCGAGAACTATACCCTTATATTGTTTTATTAAATATTTTTTTCTACGACCTCCATAAAAATGAGGTCATAACGTATAATTTAGAAGCATAATATAGTACCCATTACCTACACCCGTGCGTAATGAAATAAGTTAGAATAGATCATGTACGTTTGGAAGTTTAGTTTTTTGGTTTGCATTTTGTTGTCCTAGTTTGATGTACATATTTCTTGTACTTATTTGTGTTATGAGAATCATATGTTTAATTATGCAAGGTTTTTTTTGTTAAATTTGTGGTTAGGGTTTTTTCCGCGAAACCAAGCTTAGTGCATAACGAATTTCATTTTTCATATCTCTTCGGATGTACAAAACTTTTCATTTTTTTCCATTCCCTTCCCAATTGTGTCTCATGTCCCAACAAATAAAAAGAACCGCCATCATCGTACCATTGGTACCACCCAGTCCGAGCTGTACAAAAAATGTTTTTAAACAATTTTACTTGTGCCCACACTCTTTTAGAACTCACGAGCCGCTCTGACGTTCAGTTTAAAACGACGATCAACCTTTTGTTTCAAATCAAATAAAACAATGTTGTTTAAAAATTTATTGTAGATAGTTATAATTATTCGTACCACTTTTTTTTCTTAGTCGTATCGGCCGAATTTGCATTTAGAAGCGTTTGTTTGTAACTATTAACCAAACTCGCGAAATTATCATCCTTTTTCATCTTGTTCAACTTCTGTTTCAAAGGTTTCGTTTTCTTCTCTTTCTGCTTCACTGGTCGCCTCGCGATTTCCATCCTCTTCATCTTTTTCTCTTTTTTAACTTGCTCGTGGTGTACTTGAGCTTGGGTGCGTAAATTAAACTTGCTCCTCATCTTGGAAGCACCGAAGGATGCTTTTGTGCCCGAAAATTTTTGCAAACCCTCCTGCGTATCTTCAGCTGGCTTGTCTTGTTTATATCTTTTTTCTTTATCTTTTTTGAAAGGTTTACTAACTGTATTTGGATCGTAGCTCTTGCTGGTAGGGTTTTTCAATTTCGAATTTTGTAAACGTCGCTCTTTCGCGCGCAATTTTGATCTGTTCTCTATAGAAAATGCTATAATCGGACGTTTTGTTGGGCTAAATATATTGGGATTATTATTCAAAGCGCGAAGGGCGTGTAGTGCTGCATCATGTGTTGTAAAGGCAACAAATCCGAACTCTTTAGATCTTCCTATGCCATTTGCATCTACATCACGCATATTTCTCATTATCTTTGCCTCCTTGAGGGTTCCAGGGTGTTTACACTGTTTTAAAAACAGCTGTTTCAGTTGGGCATCACTCCAACTAGGGGGAATATTGTGCACCACCAACCTAGTGCGAGCTACAAACATATTTAAATTCCTCAACATTTGCGTCTTGTACTGTTCAATTTGTAGTCTCTTGGTCATATCTGTCGCGGACACTGATTCGGCCGCTTTAGTTCCTGCCAAGATAACACCTTCCTTAACAAGGTATAAGTTTCTCGAATCTCTTGGACCTTTCTCCTTCTTTTCTGATTTTGACTTTAATTCATCTTTCGATAGTGCTCTTTCACATTCTAACACACTGTTCATCAAAGTGATTCCCTTGTTCGCCAGGCAAGCTTCTGCATCTTCTTTGTTCTGTGAAAAATGTTTTACTGTGAAAGTGTGAGGATTTTAACTACAGCTCTAGTCTTCCCCCTGTCATAGAATTTCAGTGTTTTGCTGTAAAATAACAACACACAGTTCCTGACATAAAATGAGTGCCTAAAATGACCTGTTCAGTGCAAGCCAATATTGATCCTCTAAATATGGCAATAACGCCGAAGAGGAGAACCAGATTGATAGCAGTTACTCATAGACACGCCATGAATTCCAAACAATCTAAGAACTACTAGTTAGGTTTGGAACATAGTTACCGTACCCTCAAAAAGCAAACCAAGTTTATTTCCATTCAGAAAAAAGGTGTGAATAGAGAGGGTGATATGTGGGTTGCCTAAACTTCATAGTTTATCTATAAAACGCTCAAATCAGGAAACTTTACAAGTTGAAGACTTGAGCCGACCTACATTAGCCATTACCTACCTTAAATTTGACAAAAGCAGTTCCTTTCGAATGTTCCGTTAACTGATCCATGCAAATGACACCATAGTACAATGGACCAAACTGCGACATACACTCTTTTATATCTTCATTAGTAGCAGCAAATGGTACATTTTTAATAAAAATAGTCTTCCCTTCATTTACATCATTGGAGATCTTTCTAGGTTTTTCTTCGTCTTTTACTTCAATTTCTTCATCAAATTCAATATCATCTTCATCTTCATCATCTTGATTTTCTTCATCACTATCACTTGACTTTTCAGATTCTCTTTCTTCTTTAGTAACATCCAAGTCTTCGTCTTCTTGTTTTATATCCTCCTCCTTTATTTCAACCTTAATTTCAGCATCATCCAATGGTTCATCTTTAATTTGGACAGGATCAGGAGTCGTAGTCGAATCTTTCTTCTCGTACTTATCTTTGGGTAACGCAAAATCACACTCAATATTGCGGTTCAAAAACGGTTTCCCATTTAAATGATGCCTGGCCTTAGCAGCCTTTTGAACAAGTTTAAATTGTACAAACCCAATACCTAAAAGTACTCCGTCTTCCTTCTTCAACAGCTTAACCTCATCAATTTCGCCGAATTTTTCAAAATGTTTGCGGAGACCTTCTTCGGTCGCTTCGAAAGGTAAATTACGAACAACCAGCCGTGCTCGGTGCTTGTTTTTCTTGGACAATTTCCTTTTTAAATTGATCTTTTCTCTGACATACTGATTTTTCTTTTTCGGTTTACCTGAAGACAATACTTTAACCCTATTTTTTTCAAAGAAATTATCTACCTGTAGGCTCCATTTTTCTTATACTCTACTTGTGTAATGAGACGGCTTAAAGTTGTTGTAGGGCGTTCGGTCCAAATATCAATAATTTTTAAATTTGGAATTAAACATTTCATAACAAACTTGACAGCAAGCACGTGGAGTAATGTGGCGGTGTCTGTTGTACCAGTAATTACTATAAATTTTTCAAATCGCGACTGCAATACAGTGTACCGCAAAGAATGTTGGCATTATAATATCATCAACTAAGGGCCGGTTGCACAAAGACAGTTTAAACCTAGCTTGGAATTAACCAGTGGATTACGGTCTAGGATTGGTTGAAATTTGACGTTTTGTCAAATTTCCACTAATCATATGTCTTAATCCATTGCGTTAATTTAAACGAAGTTTAAACTGCGTTTGTGCAACCGGCCCTGAGTACTCCATTTGTTTAAAGAGTTCTATAATATTATAGCGAAAATTTTTGCAAATGCTTGTTATACATTACGGAAGCCCAAGTACATGACATGACAGTAGTACCATTGATTATACACACTGGTTAGTGTGTATAATAATCACATATTTAAAATTAAATATACTAAATGGTAGTAGGTACCTATAATTATTGTTTACGACTTTTCAAAAGGAAATCGTAGATTAACAGGAAAAATTTGTTTGAAGATTTCATCTCAAACATCGCAGACATTTCATTTCCGAACGCATTTTTATAAGCCCTCCATATATGGTCCATCCAGGGTCCCAAATCCGGTAAGGTTTGTATTTTCAAGTTTAAAAAAAAATTATTTTAGGACTATGTATCAACTACAATATTGGGTTTCGAATAAGTTATGATTTTAGGAGGCAAAAATATCACCGCAAATATTCCATTCAATCAATTATCGCTTAGAAGACTGTGCAAATGTTAAATGTGAAAAACATAAAATATGAATCGTGCATTTACTGGTTTGTTGCGGTTTACTTGTAATTTTATCATATTATCTAAAATCATAATATTAACATAATTATGTAATTACAAAATAATGTGCTATGTTTTGAGTTCACTCTGTGTATAGCTGCACCATTGCGTTCATGCAATACAAGAAACACATCCAAATAATTTGAAAAATGGCAAATGTCACAGCAAGGGGCAGTAAGTAATCAATAATTTGAGTTTGATATTATTATAAATTAAAAAAAAATAGTTGCCCTCACAAAATGTTTGCGAAACAGAAACCCCTAATGTAAAATACACATGCGGGCATGTGAAATACTTAACCTCAATTTCGTAAACACGTGAAATTTCGTATTTGAACAGGATCGCTATCTTTGTTTACCAATTTTGACACAATGACTGAAACTGAAGGTATAGTATTTCTTTACAGCAATTCACTTAACGCTGTCCTTTTTAGACACTCCAACGTTGTGCGAAGGGGACGATAATGACGACTCTGATGGATGGGACGAGATGGAGGTTTCTGGGGAACAAACTACATGTTTATTTTGTCCTTCGCAATTTCTAACGATCGCAGTTGCTCTAGATCATTGTCGTAGCGAGCACAAGTTTGATTTACTCGAATTGAAAACAAAGTATAATATGGACTGTTATTCGTTTATTAAGATGATTAATTACATAAGGCTTCATAAACCTGATCCGCATATTATCACGGAATCGTGTGTGGCACTTTGGGAGGACGATGTTTATTTGAAACCTGGAGAAATGGAGCCCTGGTTAATGTATGGTAGGTGGTTGTTTTACCTTGGGACTTCTACTTGTGTTAGTTACGAAAGTGAATTCTATTTGGCACATGAAATTTCCTTGTACAGTCACTGACAGAATTAATGATCCTCTGAGACCTAAAAACTCTTAAAAGAGACATCTCAGAACACAATTTTGAGAATAAGTAACAGTATTTCTTCCAGCTAGAACGGAAGATTTGGTATTGAATATTCTGAAAATTAATTCATAAATGTAATAATATACAGGGAAAATCGAAAGTTAGCGGCTCCGGAAGTAAAAATAAAGTTAGTTGTATGATCCCCTAGATGATCCGTTTGTTATGCATATAACATACTCCAAATTTCAATTAAAGATCTTCAAAGCAAAAGAGATGCACTCTGTGTTCCTTCCAGTATCAATAATAGGTTTGTTTTTATAATTGGCGTTAGAAAAATTATGAAAGGAAACGTTGAAAGGTAATTTCTTCTAATTTAGTGCCATAACTTACTACAGGCTTTATCACAGTTGCAATTCAAGCAGTATATGCAGGGTGTCCCACAACTTATTTTTAATGGAACTCATAATACTGAGTGTTTTTGTATTTTTCGCACGTTCAATTGTTTTTGTCATTTCTGGTTTAACTGGCAATTGGTTTAATTTTCCATTTTTACTTAGTTAAGTGTGTATATGTTGTCACTGGAAAAAATTAGAGAACTACAACTTTTGGGTGCATAGCTCCCAATCGATTTGGAAAAAATGTTTTGTCCCTTCTTGTCACTCAATGTTTAAGAACACATAATTCGCATGGGTGCAACACAAATATTTTAAATGTTAAGTAGTGAGAATAATGTAAAGGAAGCATTACAAATCTATGAGTACCTATGCATTTTTAAAGCATTTATCCTTTTTCATTCACTGAAAATTGAAAACGAGATTTTAGGTCCAAGAATAAATGAGAATGTAGACAGAAACTCATTTTTCAATAAGATTATAAAGATCTGAAACGATTAGATTGCTTAGTAGTCTAATTTGTGTTTTTGGGTTAGTCCAAAATTCGAAATAAATACTTACACGTGACATTATTTGCGTCATCTTGCAAGCAATGTAATGCGGATTTCTTCAAGTGAATACGCTTTGAAGAAACCCGCATTCTAGTATACGCGTCGTGATATACAGGGTGTCCTTAAATATGATGTAAGTACTGAAGTGTCTAAATTTTGAGCTTATCGTATGACTAAAAATTCATATAAACAAAGGCTCGCAAACGCTTCGTTACTGATGTACAGGGTGTTAAAATTTCACTGTACACTTTACAATTTAAACCTTTTAATTTGTGAACATATGTAAATACTGAATACAATTTCAAATGCGAACTGTCAAGACTATTAAAACAAATCCAAATAAAGCCTGGGCCTACTGGACAATTTTACTTTCATTTAGCTAACTAAGTACCGAAAATTAATTTTTTTTCTCTCGATAACGGGTGCAAATACGAACGAAACCATAAAGTTACCAAACAAATCAGAAAATCAAATTCTTATTTTACATGAAACCTGAAAAAACAACACCCTGTAGATTCTCATCACCATGGATATGACCAACGATGTAAGTCCTTCAGGGTCACTTATATTTCAAACGTGAGCAAATTGCAGGCGCCGGCCCGTGTGGCGTAGTTCAGTTAAAGCTGGACTGTGGTGCTAAGGGTTCCCTGGTTCAAATCCGGGTTTGGGCATGGACATTTGTAAATGTATAGTGGGTTGGGTTGGTAGAGCAGCTTTGCCTAAAACCCCGCCCACTCAAAAATAAAGGCAAAATAAATAAACAAAAACCACGAAAAAATCTTGAAATTTTAACACCCTGTACATCAGTAGCGAAGCGTTTACAGTCCTATCTTTTAGTCATAAAATAAGGTATATTTACATTATATTCAGGAACACTCTGTATCACCATCATAGTATT